GTGTGTGTGTGTGTGTGTGTGTGTGTGTGTGCGTGCATTTATATTATTTCATACATCTTTTTTCTTCATTCTATATATAAAACATTCTGCATAGTCTATGTATAACAACCTTTATATACGTTTGACTCATTTTGCATCCATTTCCAATCATTTATTTGCTACTGTCTATTTCGTATTTCCATCTTTTAATCAGTTTCCGGTTTTGTAGTTGCTTATTAATTTGTTGATCTTGTAACTCTTTTCATGTGCTCATGTCCATGTCCATGCTTATACCTGCTATCACGCACATGCTTGACAAAATAAATAAGTAAATAAATAAAATAAACAAAATAAATAAATAAAATAAAATGAATGAACGAATGAACAAACAAACAAACAAATAAATAAACAAACAAATAAGGCAAATGCAATCTGAACCCCTTGGCTGAGTTGTGTAATCAACCACAATAATGGATTAACTTAACTATCCTTGCAGGAGTCAAGTTGGAACTTTCCTAATGGGCATCAAGGAGGGAGGGAGGGAAGGAAGGCTGAATCTTGCAAGTCCAGTGGAGCCAGGACTTCAAGTCCCAGCATGCCACGGGATGGACTTCAACTCCCGACAAGCCGCGCGCCACAAGGCCGCGGGGGGGAGGAGGAGCGAGGAATCTCGTTGGTGGGGGAAGGAGCTGAGCTCGTCGGCCATTAAATAAGGACAGCAGAGGAAGGGAGGCGGATTTAAATCTGTGTGTAGTCTGGCTTTGAGGGGTGGGGGGGGGCACGGGACGTCTGCAGGGCTAGACAGACTCCTGGGTATGGACTAAGGAGGCTGGGAATGATGGGCACGGGAGTCCCAGGGTTTATTTTTTTTGGAGGGGGAAAAAACGGTTTTTTTTTTCTCCCAAAGAGGTCTGGGCAAGAGGCGCACTGAAGGGGGAGGGGTATAGATACTTCCGGTTCCCCTTCGACGCCAGCGTCTGATCTGCCTGCCACTCAGTTTACCCCGCACGGTCGACGGGGAACCGGAAGTGCGTGGCGGTCCACCAATCCTCACGCATGCCTCCTTTTCCCCTCGTTTCTGGCGCGGACGGAGCCCGACCGAGCCTCCCTTTCCCCCCCCACTCACCGGCCGAAGGAGACTCCATGGCAGCGGAGCGGGAAGGGAAAAATATAGTCCGGGTGGTTTCCTTTTAGAACTGCGAGAAAGATTGAGGCACTTCCGTCCCTTCGGGAAAGCGCCGTCGGCTGATGCGCCTTGCCGGAGTCCCTGTGGAGGGGCGGGCAGCGCCCTCAAAAAAAGAAAGGAGGGGAGGGGAAAGCCGTATAAATGTTAATTGCGGCCTCTCTGGGATGGCGGCGGGAGAAGCTGCCCGACGGGGATTATGGCGAATCTGCGGGTCCCGACATGGCGGCGGCTTGCGCTTCCTCGAGTGACGTCAGAGCCCCGCGCGGTTGGGGGTGGGAGAGAGGGAGAGGCCGTCCCGTTCGCTCCAGCTCCGTTGGGCGGAGCCAGGTCTCCCCCTTGGTGCGCTTGCGTGGCTACGGCGCCTCCTAGTGGCTGCTGGGAAGTTTCAAAGCAGCCAGCGGGAATCCTAAAAGTGCTTTTTTTAAGGAGGAA